AACAACCTATTACTCCCATGACGCTTATTTTCTTCTTTTTTAATTATTGGGGTTCGGGTTGGTGCGGGTTAATATCAGCAGAGTGTTCCATGGAGAGGCCTACCCACCTCCTGCTGCTCCTGGGTGTTCAGCGAGGAGCGCAGTGGCTTGCTCGGCGCTCCGCGGTGCTTCGGAGAGGGGGAGGCCGTCAGCTTTCGGACGCCGTCGCCCTCCTCCGTAGGGTCCGAGCTTGACATGGCATCGCTCGGTTTATCCGCGTCCCCAGCAGCGGAGAAAACCACCATCACTTTGGGCAGCGGCAGTGTCCGCTGTCTATCCTGAATGAACCGCCTCACCCGCGTAGTAGCAGCAGCGGGTAGCGGACTGAAGGACAGAGCCTGCCGCTCCCTGCCGCCGTCTGAACCGTTAGAGCCGCTCGAGCCATTCTGCTGCATGCACGCGGCCGGCCGGCCGGCTCCAGGCAACGGGGAAGGTTGACGGTTGGAGCCGGAGATCAACCAAGGGAACACCGGGACAATAAAAACAACAAGAGGGTGTGGCTCTAACAGCTGCTGGAACTCAGCCCACCATCCACAGGCAAGGAGCGACAGCAGGGGAAAGAGAGAGAAGCAGCCTCCTGTGATATAAAAACCTTTACAACATCAGTGTTAAATGACAAATATTGATAAGGAACATCAAAAGGCTGCACCGCCTGGAACATCCGAGCTTTGGAACGGAGGCGATGTGACGTACGTGTGAATATGAACGTCATTACGTAAAGTTTAAAAAGCACAGATACATATATGATTTATTATTGTAGATAAAATAGTTTCAATAAAGAGGGTGAATATATTTGCAGAATGTATAATAATCCTGTTAATGGTATTAAAACACATTTTAGGCAACATAAACAAGCTCGGGGAAACTACAAACAGTATGAATGGTGCCATGTCATTATCAGTGGCGGTCCTAAACCAAATTTATTAGGGGGGCCAAGGTGGGGCCATCGTTTTTTTATGGGGGCACAGAAAGGCATGAAACAAACAACCAAAAAACAACAACAACAAAAAAAACCAGAGCAATAGTTTATTATTTAAAGGTATTGTGGAGGATTTTTGCAAAATTTTCTATGGTTGTAGTTAAATCATATTTAAATGTAAAATATAGATAAAGAACATCAAAAAGCTGCACCGCCTGGGACATCCGAGCTTTGGAACGAATGACATGTGATGTACGAGTGAATACGAACGTCACTGCGTAAAGTTTAAAAAGCACCGATACATTTTGATTTATTATTTTAGATGAAATATTTTCAATAAAGAGGGTGGATAATATATTTGCAGCATGTATGATAATCATGTTAATAGAATTTAGTTTAGTTTATTATTTAAAGGTATTGTGGAGGATTTTCGCAAAATTTTCTAAAGTCATATTTAAATGTCATAACTTTCTGGCTTAAACATGTATATAAAGCTACATTCACACTGCAGGCCTTGATGCTCAATTCCGATTTTTTTTTTTACATTGCCATTCATATTTACATATATAAGCGACTTGTATGTGATCTCCTGTGTGAACTGCAGTCATACAATGCAAGTGTCCCACATGCTTGGTAGAGGATGCAATGACGTCACAGGCCAGTGTGCTCTGTGTTTACGGAAGTAAACATGGATGGTAGTGCTGGAGCACATCTAGCGATCGTTCCCAACCATAAAAACACAATCTTTTCAAAATGGTTAAACATAAATACTGCTCTCCGCATCATCATCTGCAGTGGTTGTTGTTTTTCTTGCAGCTTCTTCATAGCAAGACCCAGAATAGTGACCTTTGTCGGGTATTAATGGCGTTCAGGTCAGATGAATGCGACCTGGCTGTTCAGACGCAGGTCGCATTTGAAAAGATCAGATTCGTATCGGATTCAGGACCACATAGCCAAGTGGCCTGGGTTTCATTGGAAAAAATGGGATCTGTGTTGTTCAGACTGCCATGAAAAGATCAGATCCAGGTTGCATATGGGCAAAAAAATGCAGTGTGAAATGAGCCTAAGTGTACTCTTTATCAGATGATATTGTCCCAAAATTTTGAAAAATTCTATAAAAATATCTTATGCAGGCCAGTTAGTTATACATTAACCTGTGCTCCTAAATTCGACCAATCATATATCAACGGTCATCTGCCAATCAAATTTTTTGGTCATAGCATCTTGATTCATATTCAGGCATAGAGCTAACAGAACTGGCAGAATTGCGAGGCAAGGGCTCAAACATGTACAGCTGTAGGCCTTCAACACCAAACCAAGCTTCTGCTGCCCTGGCGTCCTCTTCCTCAACATCTTCGTCCCCGCTTTCCTCTAAATAAAAAATGTTTGACAGAGGAGACTCATCCACAAC